GTAGTTCTGGGGCTTCTTACCGGGTTCCTCCTCTCGAACAGCTTCGAACCCCTATTGGGTGTCAATCATCGGGACAAGACCAAGGGCCTGAAACAAACAGCACAAGCAATTGTGGAGTATCGCGAAGTAGCATCACCTACCGCATTCATTGAGAGGTTGTGTCGGACGCTGTTCTGCCAGCCTTTGGAAGAACGATCCTTTCCTTTTACTGTACGCTTCTCAAACCAGCTGTAGATATCCTGAAGCGTAAGCTTCTTATCGGGAGCCTCAAGGAGAGCTTTCTCGATAAGGCAGGAATATGGGGCCTCCGAGTTTGCCTCCTCTCCGATGTCGTCAGGACTAGGTCGTGACTCCTCATGGTGAGTCCCTGGTCTGTTTGCATGGGTTTTCACCTTGCCAGATAGGAACGAGCGATGACCTGAGCTCGGAAAAGCCAGTGACGGTGGTGGCAACCGTGGGGTAGGACAAGCCGTTTTAAAGGTATCTGGCCGTGTTGGATAGGGTGCAGCTATCCGAGAAGGTACGGAATAGGTGCCAGATTCAAGCGAGCATCCAGGTTGCTGGGTCCCTGAAATCCGCGACCTGAGCAGAGAGTTTCTGGTGCTTTCGTAACCACTTCCTGGTTCGAGCTTTACTTGTTTAGACTCCGGGCAACTGGGCGCCGTCGAATGCGATGACCACTCGGAAGACTCAACGCTGTGAGTAGGAAAGAGACTTGGCACTTCCTCCTCAGATGAAGCGCTGGATGGTGAAGAAGAAGAGGGTTGGTATAGCGGTGCCTTCCATAGAGGGGTGGTATGATAAGGATGTTGTTGGTGATGGTGGTAGTGAGACATCGCCGTCTCTGAACTGCCGGAATGGGAACTCGTCCAATTTCCGACTGCTGAACAGGGATAGACATGGTGAGAAGGGATCAAACGAGCGCCATCTGTTACAGATGAGGAAGGGGTCACTGTTTGTCTCACGGGCTCAATTTGAGAAGAAGCCCGGCCGAGTGGAAGTGAGTCCAGGTGTGAGCTGAGAGGAGGAGAAGGATAGAAACGATCCATAATGTGCTTGTGCTTGTGCTTGTACTAGTAGTATGAGCCAGGATGAACGCAGTCTGTGACGAGAGCTGGGTCAATGACCAGTTCAGAGTAACATTAAAAAAAAGTGTAGCTTCACAGCGGAATAAAAATATTATATAAATTTATTGAGACTTCGACGACACCCTTGCCTCTAGACTCCCATCAAGTAGCTTGCTGAAAAATGAAGGGTTCTTTCTGAACAAAGGAAAGGAGGGTTAGGAGGGGTTGGCTCCATAAAGGCCTTCGAATAGATCAGAAAAAAAAATAGACGTGTGACCACTGAGACGAAGGGAGCCGGATCTTGCAATTGAAGCTGCGAGGCAAAAGAAAATGCCAGCTCACAATGTACAGTACGAGCTTGGTCTTTTTTGGTCTCTTCTTTCCTTTCCTTTTCTTTTTCTTTTTGGGGTCTGTCTACGGTATCAGTCCCTCCCTCGGTATGTCTGACTTTCTCTCATACTAACCCTCTTTCTTCTTTTGTAAGCTTGCGATCAGTCCGTCTTTGCACATGTTTAGTCCTTCAGAACAAGGATGAGCTTGAATAAGATGTCAAGAATCGTCTCTTCCACAACCCAGGAGGAGGAGCGGGGAGAGAGAGGATGGTGGACAATATTCAGGAAAGGATGAGAATGATATCAATGGTCTACCAGCCCACCTGTTCTATCATGTGTTGAAAATGTAGCTGCATTGACAACCGCGGGAGTCGCCCCCCTCATAAGGTTGTGAAACCGAACTGGTCTTCTAGTCCACTTGCAGCGCAGTCAAAGACCATGAAATCACGAATACCCAAACGGAGGCTAGATCTAGTCCGAGGGGGCTTGCGATAGCGGTCTCTAGGTGGCCTGCCGCGCCAAATGGGCCGGGGTCATGCACGTATTATGAGGATGGCGATACCGGAAGCCTGCAGATACATTCTACCATCCACCAAAAACGAAAATAGAAAAACAAAATTTTTCTTAAAAAAAAAAAAGAAAAGAAAAGAAAAAGAAAAACAGGCGCACTAACTAATGAAATAGTACGAATAGAAATTAGATGCAGAACTTTTCTCAGAATCGAAGATAACCCCTCTCCTTTCCCTCTTCCTCAAGCCATGAGAAGTTTTCAGAGAGTTGTCCTGCAGTTACTAGGTACACCACTGCTTCTCCCGGTTTCCCCGTCCAGCCGGAACCTTAGAACAATACGCAATGTTTCCCCAAAGCCGCATCAGTGTTACCACCATTCCCAACTCCACGACGACCATGCGAGGGAAGCATGAGGTCCCCCGACTCAATTCTGATTTATTGCACGTGATATACACCAGCGCTGCCCGGGGTGGGGAAGCCTTTGCTGGAGAGAGTCAAGGCACGGAAAGCAATTCTGACCGAATATATACAGATCTCGAGTGCAGTGTAATTAAGCATCGACAGGTATCCCGTGAGTGGAGACCACGATCTGCGCGCCGGATCATGTAGTAGCTTGAGATCGAATATGATACGTCTTAGCTTGGCTGGGATAGAGTCCAATACGTGATCAGATGGATTAAGTTTGCAGTCCAATCAGAAGAGCGAGAACGGCTCTTCGCTGTACGCGGACGAATTCGTCCCTGTGGAACCCAAACCTGACGATATTTTGCCTCTGGCATACGCTAGGGTTTTCTGTGCGTTCCATACCGCCGGAACTCCGAGAATCGCCTTGATTTTACTTCCGGTAGTAGATCTGGATAATCGAGTTAGTATAGCACCGGGATGAGACGTCGGTAAGGGACTCGACTCACCCGCTTGAATTGAAAATGTAGTTGCAGAATTCCCTGCCGACACCGTCAATTCTCATTTTCTTTATACGAAAAAAGGTGGATGTCACGTACTTTGTCGAAAGTACTCTTGAAACCGCGTTCTCGCTTGGCACTGTAATCCCACTCCTTATCCACAATGCGAAAGGCGATATCTTCATACGGCGGGCCGGCCATAAAACGAATGAGACATGTATCTTCTTCCCCTGCTTCCGCAAAGGACTGACCGCGCTTGCGGCCATTTTCCCGCTCAATACGGTAGGTCGGAGCTTTGGTCTTGTCAATCAGATCTGGGTAGAAAATATTGAACTTGTAGCCCTGAACGACTTTCGGGGGTGGGTTGTCGTGGTCATAGTGGGTTTGGTTGTACTTGTTCCACTCGTAGCCCATTTGAACACGGTTGAAGTACCGCGGCTTGCGGGGTCGATACTTGCCTGCCCACAAAGGTTGGGCGCCGGAGCTTACAGCTTCCTCGCCAGTGAAGATCTCTTCATTTTCACTCACTCCCTTCGCCAATTCGCGTTCATAGAGGGCCTTGGTCGCTTGAGAAAAGTCATCGTTTGGAATGGCCGAGAACCTAGTTAGGGCACTAGGAACTGGCATGTTTGTTGCTTGGTTCAGGGGAGTAGCCGAAGGCTTCTCCGCATGTCGCTGGCGCAGCGGCACAAATCCCATCTTCAAGATTTTTTGTCGTTCCCGGGCCTGCATAGTGTTGGCATCAGTCTTTCGAGGGTTGATTTATGATACATAGTGCAAATTGGACTGACCACTTGACCAAGAAAAGCACTTTCATCGACAATCTCCAGTATCTTGTCCTCTGGACGAACCTGAAGCAATGGGTCCGGATCGAGGCCTTCAAAGTCGTGATGATCGGGTTGAGCGTTACTCCCCGAGGGGGGCCGGATAAAGGGAGCCAGCGGAGCGAGCTTCGCTCGCACAGATTCGGCCTCCTCGCACTGTTGTGTGCGCAGCCCCTTAACTCTCTCATCTATGACATCTTGAAACACTTTCTTCAGCTTGGCGCGAGCTTTCCAAACAGTGAGACTGCGCAGAAGTTCTTCCCAGTAGTCTGTGTCGATGGGTTCGTTCGAATCCAACTTTCTCCTAACTTGCACCTCGAGTGTCTGAAGTTGTTCGTAGGACTTGGGACTCAGCAATCGGTTGATGTCGGAAGCCACGGAGCTGAGCGCTCGACCTTCAGGCCCGGTGATCTTTTGGCGATCTCGACAGATGACCTTCATCGTCTGTGCCAGAAAGGATAGTGGTTAGCATCGTCTAAACAACATTCTGGCCAGCCGGAAGACCAAAGGGGACTTCATACCTTCCAAAACTCCCGATTCTGCGAGTTCTTTTCCAGACTCAAAAAAGTATCAATATCCTTCTCTAGATCCAGCAACTGTGCCGGCGACAGTCCTTCAAAGACACCATCGGGGTCCACCAGATCGAGCTCCGAATCGGCGATTTCATCATCTAGAGGGTTCCTCGTAGGATCGATCACCCGTAGAGTAACAGTGAGCCAGTCGATCGGCTTGGCTCTACCTTCCTTCACCCGGATCTCTGCCTTCTTTTTGGCCTGCTTGAGAACGAAGATGTCCTCCTGCGCCACCCATTCTCGGACCTGCTCATCTTCCTGAAGCTGATTGAGCCGCACCTGGTCCTTCATAATCCGCGGTCGCGACTGCGACGGACGACCTTCTTCGCCTCTCCAGGCCCTGCTGGAGTCGTATTGCTGGTCTCGGTCGTCATATCGGCGTGGGTGCTTCTGAGGATGACGCGACGGGGAGCGAGAACGGCTGCGCTTCGAGCTTGCTCGCTCGGGAAATCGCGATGACATCCTGTTGGGGGGAGGCCCAGGATTAATCCGAATTCGTCGTGAGTATACGATAGTAAAACAAAAAGAAATGAAGAAGAAGAACGAACAGGGTTGTTCAGTGGCTGTCAAATGAGGAGCAGGCTTTCCAAGTTGCACTGTTATCGGATAGTCCAGAGATCGGGTTGACAGGTTCCCGCACCAGGAAGGTCAATCGATCGCGCCGCCGCCGCGGCAAACCTTCTCTATCAGCACGTGCATCTAATCTATTGCCTACCAACCCGCTGGTGCCTTAAATAGCGGCTCTTACTTCTCAACTTACCATTTAAAGCAAACCCAACCAGTCGCGGTCAAAATGCCTTCGAGATGGCAGAGACTGCATGTCTCATCCTCTGGCAATGTCCCCACTCTCTTATATCAATTTACCTTCACTGTGGACGGATACGAGCTGTATATCACCGACCTTACATACATGTGGTCGGAACATTTGGATCGTAAATCTATACTGCGACGAGCAGATGAAGACGACACCACCATTGACCCCAGTGAAGATAACGACCAGTTTACAGTGCTTCTACAGAAGATAGAAGAGGCGCTGCATCATGACTCTGGGCATAGTGCTGCGCTCAGCCGGGGCTCAGAGGGTGCGAACCTACACCTGTTCACCACAACAAAGCTCCCGGCTCCGCTCAACCCTCTCCGATGGAGGTTTTACTTATCCCAGAACCCTCATTCTACGACTACTGACCATCTGCTCTTGCCGCTGGTCAAATCTGAGGCCGTATGGCAATCGCGGGAACAGGTTTTGATCGACCAGCTGATGAAGAAAGACTGGGTCTTAGGGAAGCTCTTCGACAAGCTCGAAGCTCTAGGTATCGACATTGGCACAGTCTTCCCTGGCGTCTCCGGTCATCGTCCGGGACAGAAAGACACGATGCTGTCACATACTGCCAAATACATCAAAGGGGTCGAGCCATTCGACAAGGACTCCTGGATTCGCGAGACCAATGTATCCTTTCCCGAGCTCAGCTCCGCGGCCAATCTTGCCACGGAAGCCACTGGCTCCGGGGTTGGTGCTGCCGATAGAGTGCGAAACCTCACTGCCCCAGCAGACGGATGGTGGAAGCAGCTCTCAACTGCAGTCGTGGACTCGTCGTCCGACAATGAGCCCCGGAAGCCTGCCGTAGAGAAGCGCCAGTTTGATGGTGGTCTCGAGACTGACACTGATAGTGGAAATGAGGATGACGACGACGACGACTTTGAGGTATGTTTTTTCAGCCCGCTCGGCCTTTCTAAGCAGTTCAGCGTTCACTATCTTTTCTCGCCCTAGCGACAAGAAACACCGCCGCATCTAAGACGCACCACAGTCAAGACGTCAAGTCCAAGCCCTGGTGCGGAGCCAAGCTCAACAGGGCACGGGACGAGATCACCGTCAAGGTCGGAGCATTTAACAGTACGGAAGACTACTAAAGGTGGTGGCCTTGGTGTAATCGGCGGCAGGAAAAGACTACAGTCGAAAGAGAAGACACCGCCCTCTTCTGCTTCAGAGGTCGACATCCCAGAACGGAGAGCCAAGCCATCAATACCTCCCTCCAGAGCAACAGATAGCGATGCAACCGCCTCTGAGACAGACGGAGACGACGACCTCTCTTCACCCCCACCACCGAAACCGAAGGCACCAGCACCAGTCAAGCGCGGCCTTGGAATCATAGGCGGCAAGAAGAAAGAGCAACCACCATCTTTGCCATCATCTTCAAATCGGCAACCCTCTCAACCACCATCAGACCAGCTGTTTGAGTCAAAGACCCAGACCCCGCCCAAACGGCCCGGTCGGTTGGGGGTGATAGGAGGTGTTGCACGCTCTACTAAGCGCACTGCGGAATCTCAACCACCAACAAACGCTGCGTCATCTGCCAAATTAGAACACTCGGATGATGCACCCGAAGGAGCCACTGCAGAACTAGCAGACCCGCGAGCAGCCCTTTCAGTATCTCAGGAACAAAAGCCTGAATTGACACTACCCGCGGAACAAGAGAAAGAGGAGAGTGAACAGCAGCGGGCCGACAGGAAGCGGGATGAATTGAAACGACAACTCGAGGCGAAGGCCAAAGCTCCAGCCAAGAAGAAACGAAAATTCTGAACTTGGCTTTCCGGAGACTACTAACATGAGTTGAAAGCACAGGACACAGTTTTGTGCTGGTTAATTAGAAGTTGTATTTTGGATAGGCCGGCGGCAGGAATACCATTCTCTTGGGTCATCCACATTACTACTACAATGTAGGCGCATTATATTATGTACAGTCATCATTATCGATCCGTTGGAACTTCTGTCCACTGGCAATTCGAGGCTGGGTGCTAAAGCCTCACTTTACAAGATGAGACGACAGACAGAAACATGGAAAAAAAGATAGATCGGCTCGGCCTTCTGCCGATTCAATGACGTCGGTCGCTCGTATGGATAGATTCAGTATCAATTGCTCAGCCCACTGCCGCTGCCACCAAAGCTTGTCCGATGGCCACTTCGCCGCGGCTTCCCTTGTTCACTAGGTGTCACTAGTCGCACCTTTTTGGGAGACATCGTGGTAGAGGAGGCTCCACTGGGCCCAGCGCTGGTGGTAGCCGTGGTCGAAGTGCTTCCAGCTGATGCACCAACCCCCAACATACCACGCACCTTCTCCACGGCCCTGCTTTCCCCTTTGGCCCATGTGTCTCGTTTGACAAAGCCTGCACCTGCTTTGCGACCAGCGGAATCTCGTTTCTTGGACTCCTCTAGCAGAACAGACCGGTTATGTTCACGGCGGGGCCCTGGCCCACAATCATGCATACACCCCGGGGTCGCGCAGCCACCCTCGCTGATGGATACATCACTTAGCCAGGTACTGATGCAAGCTAGATGTCCGCCGTGGCCGCAGCCTTGACACCACATCCAGAGAGTGGCTCCTCTGGGCCGACGCGGTTGAGTATTTTCGGAGAACATTGCGTCCATTTGCTGTAACTCGTATTGAGGTATAGATTCTGTTTCCAAGGAGGAATGCGAAGCGGACAAGGTATATGGTGATCCTGACCCAAGATCGGGGTGATCCGAGGACATCGATAGCTCTGCGATCCATTCTGGAGGAGGGTCAACACTCATACAGATAGCACACGGATCCTGTGGGGTGTTGCAACGATAGCATCGCCCATTGTCACTCTTTGGGTTCTCATATGGCCGTTTGCATGAGAAACAGAACACGTTCATGTATGTGTCCGCCTGGGCATATTCGTAAACTGCTGGGTAAGACGGCACGCAGAGGAGCCGGAGCTCGGCCGCCTCCTTGTACATTGACTGTCGTAGTAATTGTTCGTTGTAGGCTTTGAGAATGAATTCAGTCTCTTCGCTGGGAAGGATCTTGTCGCATTCCTGAAAAAGAGCGCGCAACTTTAGGAGCAGGTGAGCAGCAGACTGGATGTCAACAACAGCGCCACTATGATAGTGTCTGATCGCCTCCTTGAACAGTATCTCAACACTCCAGGGCTTGTTAGTGGTTGTATCGGGAATGATTGGAATGCTGACGTCCGAAAATTGTTTCAACACTCCAGAGGTGCTCCGAGCACCCCACTCAATGGGCCATGTTTGAGACCTGTCCTCGAAAGTACGAGACTCCAATGGTTGGCTCTCTTTGAGGAGCGGAGGGGGGCTGGACGGCCGGTCAAGATGAATAGTATCAGAGCCTGGAGGCTCTTCCTCGAACGACTCGCTGCTGAGCATTTCTGTCTCATGCGCGATGTCAGGATTTAGGATGGATGCTCCTCTACTCCTGGTTCTGTTATTGTTTGAACTGGGTATATCCACCTGCTTGCCTCGGCTCACGGTCCCCGCTGCATCATGAAGTCTTGCAGCAGAATTAAGGGAGGTGCCCATGTACTTAGAAGGATGTGAACTTTCTGTTGATGCGGAAAACATTGGGAAGCTTTCTGATGACTCTTGGCGATGAAACGTTGGGGGCTTGGCAGATTCCATCCGAGATTCCAAGGTCAGTACTTTTTTTGGATGAAGCCTGTAATCACGAATTGCCGCTCTTTTGTCCTCCAACTTCAAATCATAATCATCCACTGCAGAAGCGTCCTTTGGAATACCCGCAGGCTTTCTGGTATGCCAGTCTGTCCTGCCGGTTATGGCTCGTGGTGCAGATCGCTGGTCATCTGCCAGATCATGGGCTACAGAAGGGCGCAAGAAATCAGGTGGTAAACTTTCAGGCGCAAAATGAGCGCCTTTATTTACCTGCTCTCGGCTCTCATTGAAGTCGCGGCTTGGCCGAGGATCAACGTCCGATACCGATGACCAATCGTTTGAAGACATTGTCCCGATATTGGGACTCAAGACTGAGGCAGGAAGAGGTTGAATATCTGTAGTATCATTTAAGGATGTCATGTGGGATATTGAACTATCCAGAGACCCGAGTGGAGAATCAGGTAGGGGCTGCGCAAGCGGGGTGGTCACAGTCGAAGCACCCTCCGTATCAGTGAGAGGATGCTTTGATGTATCGCTCTCAATGACGCTCTTGATCAGCTTGTTCTTGAATTTGTCCTGTCGACCGTCTTCCATTGTCCGCTGCTTTTCCGCGACCGGCCCTTCTTTCGACGGACGTTTCTTCATGACCCGAAGTCCCTTATCGAGCGAGGGGGGCTGCTGCTTCGCCCTAAGTTCAAGCTCCTGGATGACCGCGTACTGGATGACCCGCCAGGTCTGAGCAAGCTTGAATAAAGATATATCTTCGGAGCACTGGGCATTGTGGCCAAGTGATTCAAGCAAAGACTGTATAGAACTCTTGGGAAGAATGTCAGGCTCATCGAGCAGAGGATGATAGTGCGAAGCTAGATACTGGTATGTATCCTGATCCAGTGTGGCTCCCGGGATCCCTCCAACAACCCCGAGCTGACGTACTTCTGGGGTTTTGATCTGGGACAATAACCTTTCTAGAGGGAGAATAGGAACAAGCTCCGATGCACTCGGGGGAGTACTGCCTAAGGACTTAGACGGTCGAATGCTACTTGACTTACTGTATCGATGCCGCGTCGAGGTGAGCTGGGCGTCATCAAGGAAATCGTCCACAGGGCTCTGACTCAAGATTTCCCCACTGCTGCTCTCGTCCTGTCGAGGGCCTACAGCCTCAGCGGTGCTGGGTCCGAGAGCACTTCGTCGAGGACGCTTCTGGACAAAGGCGAGCACTTCTCCACTTGGGCTCCAAGCAACAGCACAGGTTGACCGTTGATTGACCACTTGAGGGGCATATCGAACATCTGTCTGGGTAAAAGCGCCGGCTTCACCCACCGTCCATAACAGATCCTTCGAATGCCAAAGCAGATCGGTGGCGTGAGCGTCATAACGATCAAACTCGCGGAAGGGAATGTGGGGCCGGCGAAGATCCCAGAGATGAATTCGGGGGTCCTCCTTGTCGTAAGATGTCACTACCTGCGACGACTGCCAATCACCTGCTCCCTCCGGCTCCCTCGCCCATGATGGGGGCCGCCAGCGCACATTGAGAACAGCCTGAGGGGTGCGAAACTGAAAGGCCGGCTTCTGTCTTCTTTCTGCTGAAATGGAGAAATCCCAAACCTTCACTTGCCTGTCTGTGCCTCCACTGACAAGGTGCTTTCCATCAGGATGCCAGTCTACCGAATAACAGGGGCGATCATGAGCAGTAATCCGCATCAACGGCGCACTGGTCTTGCGGCAATCCCACAGTTGTATAGCTCCACTGTCTGTGGCTGTTGCAAACAGTACTCTGTCGGTCGGTGACCATCTGATATCACGGATAGCATCACTGTTACCGTTGAATAATTCCGTACTTCCACATACTAAGACGCCCCGTTCTGCCGATGCTGTCCGCAAATCCCACATGCGGATCGAAGAGTCCTGGCTTCCAGACAACAGCCACGATGAATGGTATGGATTGAAGGCTAGGCGGTGAACTTGACGGCTATGGCCCTGAAACCGGCAGCATTCTAAGCCAGTCCGATACAGATCGTAGACAACAATGCGGCCATTGGCCACCGCGGTGGCGATGATTTGGTCATGCTCACCATGTGACCACTTCACATCTCTAACCGTCAGCTGGTCTTTGTGCCGAGCGGAAAGCCCACTCCCAACATGATGAGTAGAAGAATAGCTAATAATTGCACTGCGAAGATTGAATTCCTCGGACGAATGATCCGGCGAGACACGGATCGTTTTCAAAATCTCTTTGCCGCCGATAACTGCATGTGTCCGCTGGGGAGATATATCTAGCGCAGCTATAGGAATCCCAGTCTTATGAGAGATCGTCTGAGAAGCACCAGGTCTAAGGAAGATGTCAGAGTCATTCACCTTTCACATTTCAAGATGCTTAGAGCTTCTGTCACCCCGGTCATCGGGACCAAATTACTAGGTAAAGCCAAAGCACTAATGGGGAGGAAAGAAGTAAGGGGGAGGTAGGGCAAGAGTCGAGCGAGGGCGAGGAAGCAGTATCTCGGAAGGGCGGGGGGGAAGGAGGGGAGTGGAGAGCTATACAAGGACTTGGACCTAGTGGAACGGGGACCAGCAGATAGATCTGCACGACCACTTTGCGTATGCGGACTGGGAGGTCGAGACCCGGAGAAAAAAGGCTGGGCAAATCTTGCCAAAGCACTGGCCGCGCGGTTCGAATACTTGTGACTTTGTTGCACGGGAGCTGGAGGTGGGGGAGGCGGCGGCGCTGGGGAGGTGTTGCCTCGGGGGGGCAATCGAGAGAAGTCGGCCATGATTTCCAGGGTCAGAGACTCTCTCGGAGGTCAGTCATTCATGACTTAACCGGATGAAAATTGGGGCCCCATGGCTGTGAAGGTTTTTCCCCGGACGAACAAACAAGAGTGATGCACAGAAGAGAGGTGGGGAATAGGAAGGGAAAGGAACCTGGAAAGGAACCTGGAAAGGTAAAGCCAAAGGAGAACGAAAGGGGGAGGCGGAAGATGAGTGAAAGGGAGGGGGGCAGCTGATTCCTGGAACTATGATTTCAACCCGGGAAACAAGATGAAGGTGGATGTTATGAAGAAAAGGTAAATCATGAGTATGATTGGATATTGAGGTGATACCGTCGAGGACCAGCAGTAAGTAATTGTAGTAGTAGTGCAGGAATGTGAGGCGGACAGTGCAATAATGGAGCAACAAACCGCCTTGGATGGAATTCTGCCGGTTCAATAAATGACACGGCTTGATACCTGAATTGGTTTGGTTTAGAGCGAAGATCCAAGCTGGGGGCGAGCGATTATGTAACCTGTGGCAATAACTAGATCAACTTACCCCGTGATATATTATCTGCTTGCCCGGCGAAAGGTAACGCAGATTTGAGGTCGATACAATATACTGTCCACACTATGTGCAAAACTCGTCGATTTCCATAGGAAGAGATACCTCGGTTATGGGAGAGCTAACTAGAGTACTCATGTACTGTACAGTACATACAGTACTGTGACTTACCGGGTGTTGCTGAGTTTGGTGTTCTTGGGAACTGTACGGAGGGAACTCCGTACGATCAGTTCGCTATCTTTACTTAACTTTCTGCAGGCTGGAAACTGATCTATAGCTTTCAGTATCCGTATCATCGAAATTATTCCTTCGCCGCCCGATCTGACTGCTGCCTATGATGGGAGCAATTTTCCTGAAACTAGCTTAAATAGCTTGTAAACGGTATCTCAAACAAGATTCCTCTTCCCGTGTGGCCATCCACCCACATGAGAACGAGAGGAAAGACGGGGAAAAATCTTGTGGAGGGAAGAGGGAGTTGGTTGCGGAAAAAAAAAAACATTCTCTGTATAGTAGTGTGGATGGATGCAGACAAGGGATGCATGCAGGTTCAGGGCGGTGTGCAATCACGAGTCGATGGGGTTCGATCGGATCAAGAATTGTTCCTGTCCAACCTGCAAGCATAATTACGACACCCGCCTATGATGATCATGGTTGTCTTACCCTCTCACTTTTCTCCCTAGGGAGGTGCTTAAATCGACCGCCACCTATCGGTAGACTCTTCCCATGCATGTTGAGCGGTGCGGTAATTGAGACAGGAAGTCCGAGATTAAGCAGTTGGGGTGGCCATGTCATTGTCTCACTACTCCAATGGTCCGGTGCTGTACATTCCAGGCGTTGTTTTAGATCATCCGGACATTCGGGACTTCAAGGTGGGACAAGCTAAAATGGAACTAGTCTGGGGCGGTTACCGAATGACTCGTCGAAATCGTGAGGGATGCGCCTAATTGTCGCGGATGAAGAACGCCTGCTCCCTGCACCATCATAGACGCTTGCTCTTTGGTTATAGTCGGCTGATGCGTGGTTATATTGGTAGCTTGAATGGAAGGGGGAGGGTTTGTTTTCTAATTCTGCACTGCCTCTATCGTTTCTGTCCATCTCGTCGATATATGGGGTGGGTGGCACAACGGCCTCAATAGATGAATTATATATTTAACGCCAAGAGTGTACTCTGATAACCATTCAACAATGTATACATGGTATTCATCTAAATATCTGATTTTGGCCAGACAAATCCATACCGACAGATGTCCCTGAAAACCTGCCAGCCACCTACGCATCCTTCGAGCGAAAACACCTGCATCTGAAAGGGCTTGATCCATCGACAATCCCGCCCGTATTTCGTCCTGTGAGCGCCATGGTCTTTATCTTTCAGCAACACCAGCTCCAGCAGGAGGAGGGGTCAAAGTTGATGGACCGGCATCTGGGCCGTGATGTGTCTTTGCTCCAACCGGGGTCAGAGGCCACTCAGAGAGCTTCTCCTCCATCCCAGCACATAGTCTTCCAGGGAATCCCCGAGCGGTTAATTACTGCGGCAGCTCAGGCCTTCCATCATTCGTCCTCCTCGTCCTCGTTCCATTGTTACCTTCTCGCATCGATCTGCGCAAAGCCCTCCTCCATCGAGATCTGTCATGACATACCCCTACAAGTGACCCCCTCCAGTTGCTTCTCGCTTGTCGCCATCGGCGGAGCTCATGCGTGTGCCTCATGGTGTCTTTATGTATCAACTTGGCGGTAACTTGCAGTTGTGCCATCTATTCTACTACGTACTTACCGACTTACCAACCTACCCCACAGGCCTTCACCTCCCCTCATCCGCCATCACCTGTCTCATTCTTCTTGAATAGACGGAGTAGTGCTTGAGAAATCATTGTCACTCCTTTTGAGTGGATTCTTTTCCTTCAGCACACTGGAACCTTCATTCCAACCCCTGTTCTCATTGGGCATGATGCACCTCTACACCTCTAAATCCCCACGGGATTCCACCAGAAGGGTGTTTACAACTGCTGGTACATCCTAAAGAGACAAACGGAATACGTACTACCCTGTAGTTTGATCATTCCAGACCATGATCTATCCTTTCTGATTGATTAGGCCCTCACCCTTTCTATTTTAATTTGACTCATACCATTAAACTGCGCATAGGAGGGGATGGTGGGAGGCAAAGGTATTAAGAGAGACCAGAGAGAACGCAGGTGAGAAAGAAAACCTCCGATGCTGCCTGCATCTGATCAGCCGGGAATAATGAAAACGACCGTTGGGGCGAGGTACGTAGGGCGGATATTCCTTCTGTTCTTCTTTGCTTTCTTTCCCTCGTTGTTTTGTTTTTTTTTTTTTTTTTTTTTTTTTTTATTTTTTTCCTGCCTTCTGCCTTTCTTTTTCTTTCTTTTTTTCCTTTTCGAATTTTCTATTTTTCTTGCTCCAAGGAAACATAATCATAATAATAATATTAATGCTAGATATTATTATTATTTTCCTTCCCCTCGCCTTCCGGATCCAACCAAGCTTAATACGGAACTAGCTTTGGAGACCCAAGCTAGTGCAGTTCTGGTTCTCGACTTCTTCCGCATCCACACCGTCATTCCATCTTCCTCTCGTCAAGCTGCTATTTGTATCCAACGATCCTTTCCTCTCGTGTGCCTCTGGTCTATCCTGTCCTTTTTTTCCCTCCTTCCCTTCCCTTCCCTCCCTCCCCTCCTCTTCTTTTAATTTGTTTCTTGCATGACCAGAGATATTGGTGCAACGTACACCTCCGGTTGCCAACCTTTTACTCTTCTTTATAGTCTTTGCTTAATCAACCTGTATTCTCCTTCTCCTGTATCTATTACAGTCCCTTTTTTTCCTCATTTTAACCTCATTTTAAGTTTTTAACCTTCACGCCCTTATCCTCTCTAAAAAATTCTTCTCTTTCAATTCTCATATCTGCGCTTCTTCCTGTCTTTTTGCGTCAAGAATTTCTTTGCTCTTAAAATTTAATAGAACATTACAAGACAGACATTACCTTACTACTTCCCACGTGTCCGCCGGCTCTCGTTCAACTCCCGGCTTTCTTCGTTCGACGAATCCCTGATCACAATTCGCCTCGAACCTCGAGTACTTTCCCGCACTCCAAGCTCTCACCGCCTGTCATCTATATTCCTCGTCCTGGAGAAAGGGTCGCGGTCGCAGTGTCATGGAAATTATACCTTGAACGTCTAAGGAAAAATCTCGGTCATTGAGTGGACATCCATCACACCATGGATCCTCATCATGCAACCCGGGAACTCCTGGGGTACCTTCGTACTGGATCTCCAATTCTCCTTCTCCTCGTCTTCATCGCCTCGTTTATTGCCAATTCTATCCTGGCAGCCAAGAACGTGAATCGCAATAGCCAAAATGCGCAGACGGGACCTGGGGGAAGACCGCTCCCCAAGCGGTCAAGGAGCACAATGACCGTACTCAAATCTCCTCAACGATTTTCTCAGAACGCGAAGATGCTCTTCAAATGGTTTTCAGTAGGAATTCTGTTGACCATTGTCGCAGAAGGTGCGCTGAATGTGTCGCATGTCATCATTGCTAGATCGGAGCATTGGTGGTGCGGCCAGTCCGTTGTGGTAAGTTCGCTGCTTTGATCCTGTGGAGCTCCCTGTGTAATCGCCATGTGTTGTCCGCCCTGCGAAGCAGCTTCTAATTTTCCATAGATATATGTCGTTGGGTCATTCTTTGACTATGCCATTATCCTTGTCTCGCTGTTGGACACGAATCCGTCTCCGACATTTGCTCAATTCGTCCCATGGCTCATCGCAATTCCAATCGAAATCGGTGTTCTTGGCACATCCCTCTCTATCTACACTGGGCCCCATCGAGAACCAGTGGTTGGAGATCCTATTGGTGGTCGTCTCCGACATGGGATAACTCCCTGGGAAGTGACAGGGGTCGTTTTCAATTGCTTCCGAGTGCTCATCCTCGCCACCATGGTCCTTACTTATATCGCGAACTCGATCAACGTCAACCCAAAGAGGGAACGAAGCCATGCGTACGGCTCTACCGAGACTACGGGACTACTCGATGCCCACAATGTAGAGAATGGGGATGGCTATGGTGCGACAAACGGCCATGGTGCGACGAACGGGCATGCTCAACCTTCGAAGCCTACCGACCCATGGGTACGCCCGACCACTGTCCCTTCTACAAGCTGGTGGGAATACTTGAGTGGATACTCCCTGTTCTTTCCATACCTCTGGCCGTCCAAGTCCCGCCGTTTGCAGATTGTGGTGGTCATCTGTTTCGTGTTAATCGTTTTGCAGCGCATTGTCAATGTGCTTGTCCCATATCAGGTGGGTGTCATCACGAACATCCTCTCTAGAGAGGATGGCGAGTTCAGGATTCCGTGGTTCGAGATCTGCTTGTATATCCTCTACCGATGGTTGCAGGGCAACCAGGGACTAATCGGATCCTTGCGCTCAAATCTATGGATCCCTGTGAGCCAATACTCGTACATGGAGCTGTCGACCGCGGCTTTCGAACACGTGCACGGTCTCAGTCTCGATTTTCACTTGGGAAAGAAGACGGGTGAGGTGCTATCTGCGCTCAGCAAAGGTAGTTCGATCAACACATTCCTCGAGCAGGTCACCTTCCAAGTTGTTCCTATGCTGGTCGATCTTTGCGTGGCCATTGTCTTCTTCTTGATTTTCTTCGATGCATACTACGCCCTTGTGGTCACCATCATCACTTTCTGCTACCTTTACGTCACAGTGCGCTTGGCACAGTGGAGGGCGGAGATTCGGAGGGAAATGGTCAATAAGTCCAGACAGGAAGATGCCGTCAAGTAAGGGCTAGCTTGGGCCAACGTTTCACTGTTTCGGAAGCTGACGAAATCACCACAGGAATGACTCGATGGTCTCCTATGAAACCGTCAAATACTTCAATGCCGAAGACTATGAGTTCGGCAGATACCGCCAAGCCGTGTCAGACTATCAAAGAGCCGAGTATCACGTTCTTTTTTCTCTCAACCTTATGAATACGTCACAAAACACTGTCTTCATGCTGGGCTTGCTCATTGCCTGTTTTATCGCTGCATATCAGGTGTCCATGGGGCAGCGAGATGTAGGTCAGTTTGTGTCATTGCTCACCTACATGGCACAGTTGCAGGGGCCTCTCAATTTCTTTGGAACCTTTTACCGTTCCATCCAGTCCGCCCTTATCAACTCAGAGCGAATGCTGGAGCTTTTCCGGGAACAACCTACCGTTGTAGATCGCCCTAGCGCAAGGCCTCTGTCCGTGTGCAGCGGCCGGATCACATTTGAGAATGTTGAGTTCTCATATGACACGCGGAAGCCGGCTCTGAACGGCCTCACATTCCACTGTGAACCAGGCACCACGACGGCTTTGGTGGGTGAGTCTGGCGGAGGAAAGTCCACGGTCTTCCGACTACTTTTCCGCTTTTACAATGCCGAACGCGGTCGTATGTGCGTTGATGGTCACGACGTTGAAAGTATAACGATCGACTCTCTTCGGCGGCACATGGGCGTTGTGCCCCAGGACACTGTCCTCTTCAATGAGACACTGATGTACAACCTGAAATATGCTAACCAGAACGCCACGGACGAGGAGGTATATGAAGCGTGTAGAGCGGCTAGCATCCACGACAAGATCCTGTCCTTCCCCGACGGGTATAACACTAAAGTCGGCGAGCGTGGCCTACGGTTGAGTGGAGGAGAGAAGCAACGGGTAGCCATTGCTCGTACTATCCTCAAGAATCCGCGGATTATCCTTCTGGATGAGGCGACCGCCGCTCTCGATACCGAGACGGAGGAGCACATTCAAGGGGCACTTGCTAGCCTTTCTCGTGGTCGTACCATGCTTGTCATTGCTCATCGGTTGAGCACAATTACAACGGCAGACCAAATCCTAGTTCTGCATGAAGGACGCGTTGCTGAGCGTGGCACACACGATCAACTGCTGGCTATGAAGGGCCGCTACGCAAGCATGTGGCGCAAGCAGATTCGGGCCCAGAGAGCCGCAGCCGAAGCTCAAGTGCTACAAGATCGAGCCCAACGCTTGCGTAGTGCATCAACGTCGGGCGCTGTTGGCGATGATAGCTCCAGTCAGTCTGACGAGGATCGGAACAGTAACGCCCATGACGCGGCAGGTCGACCAAGTCAGGGTCAATCTACCAACAAGCCTACCGAAGAAAGCCGAAGATGAGGGCCTGAGTCATTGTATAGATGGTACGGCGTTAATACCACGGGTGGCATCGTTCGTCCTTGTCTCGCAATCCACTTCTACCAGCTGTCGTGGAAATTGCGCGAGACTCTGGCGATTCAGATTTGTAGCCAGCGACATATTATACAGTCCCACACAATCGTTTGAATACAAAGGCATCCTATCGATTTATCACTTGTATGGCATTGCTTTCATTGCCATCTCAGGGGAGACGTCGGGTTGACCCCTAGATCGGCCCAAGGTTACGAGCATGGAACCGTGAATGAAACGTGTTAGACGAATTGCATTTAGCTGACTACCTCATGTGTTGCACTTTGCCAACATAGTACTTAATACAAAAGAGTTTTTCAGGATAGCATCAAAGCTACGGAGTAGATTGATTACTGCAATGGTACGGAAGTTCAATAGTCAACAGTTCGGTATTCATGAATACTCAGTCTGGGGCCGGTATTTGTGCCTGGCAGTTCTGGGGAAGTTTACTATTGGCTGCCGGCCTATTGGCTCGTAAATTATGGATCATGCGGCCACCGCCTGCCCAAGATAGTTAAGGTAGTTATGCCGGCGGGCGCCGCCTGCGCGGCGTTCCAATGTCGGGAGGGATGTCTCAAATGGTCCGGAGCTCCAAGACGGACTTAGATATTTTGTGCTAACATCATTATCGCTCCTGCCCCTGCACATCCTCTGACGGGTTTCAAATACCAGTTGAATGGAATCTGTGCTCTAAGGTTGATTCTCTCAACAGTATCAAACCAGGAATACTTACAGACCTGGTTCATCATCATCATCATCATCAACATCACCCACCGCGAGTCCTAGCAGAAGCTCCACCACTATGCACAGCCCATCACCCCAGCTTCTGCGCGCCTTGCGTACTTCCATCTTCGCTGACCGCAGCGTCAATCTCTGTGCCCAGCTCACATCCCGATCTCGCTCGCCTTTCTCTCGGATTGGCCTCTCGGCCTCATCTCCGCGGTACAACAGCAACAATGCCCGCCCTACCCGCATGATTCCTCGCGCCCACAGCGCAAAGCCCTCAAGTCACGACCGCGGCCCTCAGTCGACGGAGGACACGCAAACGGACTTCGCCGCCCTCAATGTCCTCGGCAACATCCCCGCGCCGACCACTGCGATCGATGCCACACTGGACACTGGGTTCCACCTCAACAACGGGGTGAAGATCACCGGTGGCGACGGCGTGATGCTTGTGGGCGGAGAGGCGTTCCCGTGGCGTCCGTGGCAGGTAGCCGCCGGGGGTCATCGGGATGCTATGCTCAACAAGAAGAGTCAATTCGAGCTTGACGAGCAGGCCTGGGGTGTATTGGATCTGGTGTGGCCTCGTCCTGGTAAGTCACGATATCCTTTGCTTATCCTGTATGCCAGGGAAAAAAGCAACAAAAAAAATAAGGAGGAAATAAGATTGATAGATGTGTCGCTAACCTCCTTTGTTCCCCGTCCCCAATAGATCTTCTCATTCTTGGCATGGGTGAATATGTTTTCCCTCTATCGCCGGAAACGAAGAGATATCTCAATTCCCTGGGCGTGCGGGTTGAAGTGGCCGACACTCGCAATGCGGCTGCACAGTTCAATCTGCTTGCTACTGAGAGAGGAGTGTCGGAGATCGCTGCGGCGATGATTCCGATCGGATGGAAGGGGAATATCAGAAGATAGATTACTGTTTATTGCATATCACTTTGTGGTGAGTTGTTCATGGTGGATGGTCTGGTACACTCAAGACCTCGGATGCGGAGGTTGATAGCTGTAAATTACGAGGTTGGGGAAACAGTATCCTGTGTGAGAGGGTACTAGCACGCCATGGAGAGAACCTCCACTACGGGCTTGTTTTTTTTTGTTTCTCTTTTCTCTACTCTTATTTTTTTTTCTTCTGTGTTAATGTATGTATATTATGCCAAAAAAAAGAGCATTGAGACTGCATGGATAACACTTACCTAATCTATCAAAGTGAGGCGGTGACGTCGATCCCCCGTACGAAGCCATTCCCAAAACAGCAAGTCAGGGTCACGCTGGCCCATTGATTGCTTATCAGCTGCCCCGAGTTGCTCCTGCAGCTGTGACTTCGTCCTCGTCTTCTTCTCCTCTCTCCTGTTGTCTTCTTTCTCTCATTTTCAACTTCCATTAAATACTCAGATTTACTGTCACTACTGCGCAATCATACATTTATCTTTCGTCTTCTAGAGGCAACAGCACAGGAACATGGCGCGACAAGAGCCACTCCTGGCCTCGCGCCCGTCCTCCGATCGCTCGTCCATCCGCAACGCCGAGGAAGAGGACGCTCTGCTCACCGGAGAACGCACCAACCGCAGTCAGGGCCGGGGCTGGACATTCTGGAAAGACGTTGGTCTTTTCACATGGGCCTTGCTCGCCACCGTCGCTGTGATTGTTCTGTCTGTTGTCTATCAGCACGAGGCAAGCCGAGTCAATGATCACTCCAAGCATCCGTGGGGCCCCGGGGGGAAGCCGACCGGCAAGCGCAACCTGATCTTCATGGTGTCGGACGGTATGGGCCCGGCCAGTCTCACCATGACCCGGAACTACAAGCAATACACAGAAGGGCTTCCGATTGACGATATTCTCGTCCTGGACCAGCACATTATCGGTACCTCCAGGACGCGGTCGAGCTCCAGCCTCGTGACCGACTCCGCCGCGGGCGCCACGGCGTTCTCCTGTGGCTTCAAGAGCTACAACGGTGCCATTTCCGTTCTTCCCGATCACTCCCCTTGTGGGACAGTCCTCGAGGCGGCCGCTCTTGCGGGCTACAAGACCGGTCTGGTGGTGACCACCCGTATCACCGACGCAACACCAGCCTGCTTCGCTTCCCACGTCAACCTTCGGCAGTATGAAGATCGCATCGCGGAGCAGGAGATCGGCGAGCATCCTCTGGGCCGGGTGGTGGATCTCATCATGGGCGGAGGCCGGTGCCACTTCCTGCCTAACTCGACTGAAGGAAGTTGCCGGGCTGACGATCGTGATCTTATTGAGTTGGCGAAGACGAATGGATTCCACTACTTGAACGACCGGGAGGGATTCGATTCGCTGGACGGAGGCGCTGCCGTGAAGTTGCCGCTCCTGGGTCTTTTCGCCGAGAAGGACATCCCTTTCGAGATCGACCGCCGCAGCCAGAATGATGTGTATCCGTCTTTGGAGGAGATGGCCCGCACCGCGCTCAAGGCGCTCAGCGAGGCTACCGCTGACAGTGACAAGGGATTCTTCCTCATGATTGAGGGTTCCCGCATCGACCATGCTGGCCATGGAAACGACCCAGCTGCCCAGGTCAACGAGGTGTTGGCTTATGACAAGGCTTTCGCGGCCGTCTTGGACTTCCTTGAGAAGGACTCTACCCCTGGAGTGGTGGTGAGCACGTCCGACCACGAGACCGGCGGTCTGGCTGCCGCGCGACAGCTCCATGCTTCCTACCCAGATTACAAGTGGCTTCCTGGGGTGCTAGCTAACGCTAGTCACTCGTCCGAATACGTGAATAAGAAGCTCCAGGATTTCATCGCCAAGGAAAGCGACTCCTCTGCACAGAAGAAGTTTGTCCGGAAATTGCTGGAGAAGGATCTCGGCATCACAGATGCCACCGAGGAGGAAATCTGGGCCGTGCTTGATCCCGACTCGCCAATCACTCCCCAATATGTGTTCGCAGACATTGTGAGCAGAAGGGCTCAGATTGGATGGGCGACACATGGACATTCTGGTATGCGTCCACCTTATCCCATTGTTGATTGATTCACTAACCATCGCATTTAGCTGTTGATGTGAACATTTATGCTTCCTCCACGAAGGATGCCTGGCCTCTTCTTGGAAACAACGAGAACATCGATGTGGGATCATTCCTCACCAAGTATCTCGATCTTGATTTGCAGCCCATTACCGATAAGCTGCAAGCGTCCGAATACTGGTCCGTGGCCTCGTCAGAGCATCAGGTCGACACATCATCGTTCGGCTGGCTGGGTGACCCACTCGGTGCCGATGTCCGCACTGAGGGGATGGACGCCTACCATGGCGAGTTCAAGCGCTCGCTGACGGAGGGAGGCTGCAACTGCGGCGGTGCTCACTAGACTTATAGTCGGCTGTAACAGGCAAATGTATACTCCTCATTCTTACTTACTTCAACTGTCATGTCATGACAACTTTGCATGGTCATACTGGCGTCCGGGCGGCTGGATCATAACCACAACAACAACCACATTCATCAGGGCCAATTGGTTTGTCTCATTTCATGGTTGGTCAAGTTCTCTACATAGTCTTCTACGATCGAATATTTACATGAACAAGATGAGCATAAGCTTGGAGTCCTTTGCAGCAAAGCCCTCAGTAGGGGGGGCAGGGGGTGGGTCCAAAGTACAGTACCAATCAGAAATCAACCTCCTTGTGCTCTACAACTACTCAGTACCTAATAGCCCATCTTCACGTACATACACTCTATCTCTGCTACAGTAGGCTTCCCCTGAGCCCCACCCACCCCATCCTCGTAGTAGGCTTGTCTGCTAAGCGAACCCGACCGAATGCGACCCGAGTTGAGGTCACGTGAAGTTCAGTGAGAATGGACCCTCATTGATCTCGCGTGCGGTATACGCGCATCATCGTCGATAGCGTAAGCCCGAAGTAAGCAACGCGATACGGGGAGGACTCTGACGGTTTTCGGGGGAATGAGCTTCGGTCATGTGCGTCGTTTGGTTTCTCGAATGCAAGGCTAATTCGGCTGCTGGATGGTTCTCTATTCAGAGAATGGGGTGGGGGATGAAGATGCGGCGGGTTGGATGCATGGAGGGAATGGCATGGCTGGTGTTGCTAGGTGAGCGGATGGGTACGCCAATAATGGCTTTCGGTCGAGGAGGATAGAAGAGTGGCTGGAGTAGAGGTCACTGATACTGTTATCGTAGTTAGGTCTAGTGGTTTATGGCTGTCTGCCTGGAGCTCTGGGATGGATTAAGAGAAGGAAAGGGCCCCAAAGCAGAACCGTCCTTCTATGGATCCCCTACATCATAACCTCCTTTTATAGAGCATCGTCCCTTGGGTAGGTTGTGTAAAACGCACAGAGATTACAAAGATCACTTATATGAACTAATACACAAAGCGACACAACGTCTTGAAATCTGACTGGTGTATCTATTTGCAGATAATCCGCTGAAAAAGGGTGACTTGTTGACCTGAAGGTACTTATCTACGGCACAGCACATCAAAAGCATCCAACCGGCATGCCCACGCCAATACGGAAAACAAAACAGGGTATTAAGTAAAGGTCTTCAAAAGTCATTTTCATGACGTCAAAACAGGGACGCAACCTCCGATGCGCAATCATTAAAAAACGTCAAGACATCCACTGGGAAAGAGTAATAGTAGTAAGGGGGTCAAGAACAGACAAGGGCGAATAGTGCGCCAGGTATAAAACATCGAGAAGTAAGAATGGTACGCTGAAGTCGTAAAAGGAGTGACGGTATTTCGAGCCAGGTAAGAGTCAAGCAAATATATGAATAAGAATGTCCAAGAAGGGGAAAACGGAGGTTGTTGACTCTGTTTATAGAGTGACCGAAACGACAATTGCCACCAATGCGGCAAAGAAGGAGCCTCTCAGAACACGCTCATTCGGAGAGGCGACGCCGTTGGAGCTAGTGTCGGTTGAGGTACCCTGGCTGAAACCCGTCGAATCGCTTGAGCTACCACTGCTGGTGCCAGTGCCGGTGCCGGTGCCGGTGCTTGAGCTCGTGGCTCCAGGCTCATTGCCCGAGCCTCCACGGTTTTCGGGGACCGTGCTGTTGTCGCCCGTGGTGTTGGTAGTGCTGCTGCTACCGAGATCCATATCCAGGCCCGTAGCGCCAAAAGAGGCAAGAACAGTGCTGTTGTCGGTAATCACAACCGAGCCCTCGAGTCCATCCTCGTTGACAAACGCGTAAGACTTGTCGCCTTTCGAGACCGTACCGTTCGGGGCATCGTAGCACTCAACCGTGATGTCTCCGAAGGTGGCGTAGTAGTATCCCTTGTCCTTGATATCCTCGCTATCCCAGTCGATCTCACCGCCAGCCCACTCGATTGTTCCCTCCGCATTGCTGGCTTGGCCTGCAGGCCACAGTGACAGCTGCATTCGGGAAGGTGTCTGAGGGTATTTGTAGGTCTTGGAAGTTGCATTGTAGGTGGACTCCTTGGTCAGGGTGCGAGTGACCTGACCGTCCACAGACCAGGTGATAGCATCCTCGGTCCAATCAATCTCGTACTCATGCCAATCGTCAAAAGTATCACTGCCGTTAACAGCGGACTTTCCTCCGTTGTTGTCTAGAGATCGAATGTCAGCAGCGGACTTGTGTGGGCCACAGGGGTCAACTTACAATCCAAAACACCCTGCCAGTAGTAGTTGGTCTGGACGTTAGCGAGGTCGGAACCGACAAACTCGAAGTCGATCTCGTCCTTGACATCTGACAGCAGGATGAAGGCGGTGACAACACCTTTACCCCGACTGCTCTTGACCTTGCCAGAAATCTTGCCGTACCAGACGTAGTGGTTATTGGCGAACAGACTGCCCACGGTGTTCTTGGGCATTGTCAATAGAAGATTCCCGTCCTCGATCTTAGGGTAACCGCTGTAGACCCAGTCGGCCTCGGAAGAATTTCCGAGGTACTTGGTGTTCAAGGCAGATTTGTCCAGGTTCTCCCACGTGTAGGTTCTACTCTGACACACGGGCTCGGAAACGCAGGAGTCGAGGGAGTAAGACGAAATTGGATCGCATCCACCCAGACAGTAAGCGCCGGTACCACATTCACCGTACTCTGATGAGGACGGTCAGCAATGACACTTGTGAGGGTTAGGGGTTGATCAGGATCACTTACGTGAACAGCAGGGGTACTCCTCAGGGCATTGCGAGCTGGTGCTGCATGTCGGAGCGGAAGCTAAGGCGGATGTGGCGGCCAAAGAGGCCAAGAATAGGGAGGATACGATGTGCATATTGGCGAGAGTCAACGAGTCCTAGCTTCGCGAGACCAAAAGGCGGCGAACGAGTAGGGGGAAAATCGAAGACAGAGAGTGGAAGAAGAATTAGAATCGAGAATCACTGCAGATCTGGGGGAGCGCGGAGGGCCAGGCAATATATTAGCCAAACTGTTGTGCCCGGGACGGGAACCACATGTCTTATCATTCATTCATGGATCGTCTGATGCAGAGCGGGTTCCTGAGCCACGGAAAGCAAGAAGGAACTTACCCAAAATCCCCACAGTTCCCTTTTAAGAATACAGTATATTATTAACGACCGGTTTGAACCAAGACCAACCAACGAGTGCGCCAATAAATGAGGGATCACGGGACGATTCGGGAGTGAACTGCCACTAGTGGAGTAGTAGATAGAGGGTCAGGATGGGAGTGATAGTAGTAGTAGTAGTAGTAGTAGTCGTCGTGGTAGTATCAGTTGTTGAAAGCGAGTGAATGAGTAGAAGGAGGGAGAGGGAAAGCGAAAGAGAGAAAAGAGAGAAAGAAAGAGAGAAGAGGAACAGGAGGAAGTCAAAAGGCGAAGAGAAACCGCGAAGATCGAACGAATTGTACCACGAGGCTTACCTCTCCGAATGGGGGAAAGAGGGAGGGAGAGATCATATATAGGAGGAAGGAAGGAAGGAAGGAAGTACTGGTGTATATGGATGAATGGACAAAGGCTAATTAATTTGCTAGATGCGTTAACACACTGCATGGCCACGCTAGTTGCCGAGCTAGTGGCTAAGTAACCTTGGTAAACTCCTCAGTAGTCAGTCAGTACTTACTGTACCCAGTACAGTACATCCTCGACAAAGACACCCTCTAGAGAGAAGTTCGAAGATTGCTATCGCAAAATACGTAATGATCACCCTGGGTAACCCCCTGATTGTCTTTGAAGAATGGATGAACGAATGACCGAATGAATCCTCCGAAGAGGTAGGTGGTGACGGCAGCATGAAACCATTCAAAGCGTGGTATGCCAAGTTGTTGACCCTCAGATGGTTGACTGGGCCACGAGGTGCGAATGCAGTAAGTAAGTAAGTAAGTAAGTAATTGCCTTAGGCCCTGAATTGTAATTTTCCCTGAATTTCCCCAGGACCCTCTTCCGCTCGGCTCAGGACTCTCTCTCTCTTGCTTCCCCCTCGGCCTCCGAGGGATAAATTCTCCACTAGTAGTCCCTTTCGGGGTCCTTGTCCCCTCCCCACTCCCTCGCTGCTTTTGACTCTTCTTATCTCCGCTTACACACAGTAGACTGACTGACCGTTGACTGGCTTATCATTATTCTGAGTACATTGTATTTGCCTCAAGATGCCAATCAAGTCGCTTGATCCTACCTCGTCTAGTATCACTCCCTCTTTCCTGCGTGTGGGCTAACCATATGAGAACTGTCAACTTGCGCCACTCTCAAACCTAAACTAAAATAAATGCCTTCGTTGTTGACCCCATTCAGCCGAAATGAACCAATTTGGAGAACCTCCGATCCTGGTGCAAGCCCGATCATCAATGGTCTGAACGCCCACAAAGTAATGTCTTAGACTCGATGGAGCAAGCTGCTTGTCGCTCGAGTCGCTCACAGTTCAGGTACCCACGCGCTGTGAGCCCTGCTCGCGGACTAACCCACCCACTCGTTCTTCTCTGTTCCCCCTTGCCCCCATGCTCACCTGACATCTGTAGCGCTGCCAGACAAGCAACAATACTCGGGGGTTCGTCGAGAACAGTTAGGGTTGAAGCTAAACTGACATCATATTATGCCAATGCTATACAACCACATCTAAACCAGAAAGTCCAGATCTCGACTGGCGTTCGGTCCGTGTCGCCGCTTCATCGGAAACGAACTGACCGGTTTCGTGAGGTTGACGCCCACGGGTGAGTGTTGAACACTCACCCTCACATTGTCTGTTCCACGCGCACATTCCGATTACCTCAGTCACTACTTCGGGTCCCTTGGACCCCGTCTGTCCCTTTCCCCCCGATCGACAACCTTGCCGCTTGCTCCGCCCGTCCCTTATCTCTAGTAAGGGGGAAGAAAGAGGGAAAGCAACCACAACACACTCAGTCTTGTGTTTTTGTTTTCTTCCTCACGGACCAGAACTACTAAACTAGTAGACAACATTGATCCTTCGTCACTCCGGGTCGATTTTTATTCTAAGTCAAGAAAACATTCAAGTGGATTCTACTTTCGCTCTCGTACCGATAGACCATGGGTAACGGTAGGCACACAAGATTACTCATTTTTAGCTAGTTTGGGTAAGCCACAACTTCTTTCCGGTCTTTTCCACGGTTCTTGGGTTCGTGGGTTCTTTGTGTTATTCGATAGGGATTATTTTTAGGATCTCTCGTCCGTCGCCCCGTCAGCCATGGAATGTGTCCTGCAAGACTCACAGACGAACGATCCTCGCGATCATGAAGGGTAGAACATAAGGAAGAATTCCATTCCAATTGCTAAGGTATTATACCATGTATAATCAATGAGGATCGCATAAAGAAAGAAAGACTTGAGCCCCCAAACATTTGAAACAACCCCAGCAATAACCGCATCGTTCCATCTCAAACGGTTTTTTTTTCTTTCTCAGGGCCCGCCCTTCATTACTAGATCCCCAATCAATCCAAAACCCACCCCAATTCAAAGCAATTAATCACCAATCAATTTCGCCAAAAAATATCCCCGTCTACCGTCTACCGTCTACCGTCTACCGTCCACATATCACTTATCAAAATCATATGTCGGATATTGTATGTAGAATCCTTCTCGAAAGAAACAGTCGAACATCTATCCATAAACAGCAATTATGATAAGACCAGTCTCCTGCAGTCACCATACTGTAGTAGGTATTCAGTAACCAACCATCCATCTACCGAACCTTATTCGCCAAAACCGCCAACCCCCAAGCTACCAATCACAACCCCCAATCTCCCCCTCCCCCCCCCTTTTTTTTTGACTCAGTAAATGCTTTGCAGATTAGATGCACTAAATGCAGGGGTCAGAAAGAACTACTCGGTAGGGTGTGGGTTCATGTCTCTCTCTTGCTTCCTTGGCGAACTCTCGGCGGAGTACCATAGAGAAAAAAAATACGAATAGAGCCCCAACTCTGATTGTTAACCGGTAGTTGTAAGAAGTTAGTTCAGGGGAACACTGTACCAGGATAGTACTAAATATTCTTGGCCTATGCATCGATATAGTGTACTGTATAACTCCTGCATTTCTTACACTTACTCTTGCCTATAAGTTAGCCCTCACGCGATGATTTTGCAAAGTGAGGACTGAACCTGTCATCGATTGTCTCTTCTATGTACTGTACTCCGCAGTTACACACGAACTGTTTCCCATTCTCTGTCTGGAAGAAAGGTGTAACAAGTCCGGCTGGAGGAGACACACTCGCATTGCATTGTTATACTTAATACTCTGCACGCAGTATAAGTTACATAGACTGTAAGCCTATACGCCACACCACCGACCTCTACTCCTAATTTCAGACCGGGTTTACATCTCTACAACCTGCACCACCGGTATACATCCACCTCTACAGCACAAGATTACCCAGCCAACCCGCCGCTGAACTATCATGTTGGTTCTTCTTGTTGATGATGATGAGCAAGGGACGCAAGGGGATCTACAGATATGAATGCATAAAAGCGGGGGATAGGCATTATCGGGTAATGTCGATCCGTGCTTTCTCATTTTTTCCCTCACCAAACAAAGAAAGAAGCCATCCGCTTAGTTACTGCAACACCCTGTTGATCTATACTATATGAGTTCTGTCCACTACCTAGGTTAAGAAGTTCAAAAGGTTGGACTAGGTGGGTTGAACGAGATAGGCTGATGCAAAAGGGCCTTTGTTACAGGAACTCTACAGAAACTTTAGAGGATCTGGGTTCCTGGGCGATATTTATCTCAATTTCCAGTACTCTATCTTGGGGGTAAACCTACTTTGTACGTGCGCGTGCGTACAGAATCGGGACAAGGCGTTTGTTGGGGTGAGTAAGTACATCTGCAAATGCTCAGCAGCAATGACTCGATTGCCTATGCCTACTTGGTACCACAACTTCGTTTGCGACTGCGGAGTACTCGCGAGCGAATTACTGCTTCTATCTACAGGTACTTGCCTAGTTGCCTACTATGATAGACCTTGTGAGCCAAGTTTCGCTACATTATGTTTCGTACCTTTCAAGTGACAACATCCATGGAGGGATATTTTACTATGGTAGATGTAAATGTAAGTAAAAGACAATTTAGCATAAGCAACACGTCCAGAAACAAGGATCCAAACATGCAGTGATGTGATACCCCTGTTAGAAAAAGTGAATAATCCCACCACTGCTCGTGCGCCTGTCGACATCCTGGGATTGCAATCCGGACCGGATCGTGCGTGCGCGCACCAGGCGGCCACGTTGTTCCAGCATCCGGACAAACATTCCGTACAAGACTTTCAACTAGCAAGCACTTCAGATCCCTGTTCTGCAAAGTTAAGTCTTGTTTTCTTTTTTTTTTTTTTTTCTTTTTTCCTTTTTCCTTTTCTCTCTTCACTTCTTGAGTCTCTTTTTTTTTGACTTTTTCTCCTTGAATCCGAAGATCCTCGCACCAGTTGCATGTTGTAAATCCAGATCGATCAGATAATGTCTTTTGTCCTCGGGTTTAATCATCACCGTGATGGGATAATTCTACCCAGATGAAGGACATATTCAATCAGCGGATGATCCGCTTCACATAGCCTCTGCCCATGTTGGCACGGCTCTCGCGAACTAAGGCGAGCTCCTTCTCACAGGGATCAGAGGAGTAGGTCACAGAGACACCACTGTAAAAGTTGCGGCCGTTTTTCCAATTCTCGAATGTCTCTAGCACGCGGCGAGCGACAATGGTGCTGTTGAAAACAGCAGTAGCTACAGGCCAGTTAGCGGGTGAGGCCATGAAGTGAAGGACAACGTGTACAGTCGCTCACTTACCGTTACCAGAATTGAAAACCCAAAGAAAGTCGATAGCGCCAGGACCCGCGAGCTGGCGAATATCATGCTTCCACTTGTCAGGAGTCATGCCCTCCGCAAAAAGTCTCTTTCTGGCGAAAGAGAGGCGGCGACGCTCCCGGATCGGCTGGTTCATGCGGCGGAGGTCATCATTCCAGTCCACAATCTCCGCCAACTCGACGTGATAACCGGTGCCGAAGCGACCGTAGCCCAGGAGCTGTTGCATCTCGCGGTTGGACTTCAGGAACTCGACGGCCGCGCTTGCAAGCTGGAAAGTCACGCGAGTTCTATCGTCAGCCTCGACGCGAATCTCCTGCAGCGCACCCTCGTGGATGCGAGTAGTAATAAAGGAAGTGTGCTCTCTGGCAGCCTTGCCATAGATGCGGATTACTCCAGCCTTGGCCTCAGTTGGGTTTTGCATAATATGCGGAGTGAGGCTGAGTGCAGCATTGGCCAACTCAAGGCATTCGGCCTCCTCTTCACTATTATGGCTCTGTCTAGATAGAGAACTCGAAGTCAAGGACGCGGGTGACATATACTGCACTAGCTCCTGGGCCTGGGCCTGGGCCTGGGCCTGAGTGGAAGACTCGGGCACCGTGCCAACAATGCGAGCCCAATTGCCATTCGGCAGAAGCTGTCTGTCACGCATCGGTGCCTGCTGCAAGACAAGGCTGCGTTGATTCTCCTGTTGAGCCTCGCTCAGAGAAGAGGGGGCCACTGTAGGCTGAGAGGAGTTCTCAAAAGCTTGACCCTCGCCGGCGATCTGATTGTTATCATCGACCTACTCCAATTAGCATTGTTGCACTTATAGCTTCAATGGCAGTGAGCTTTCTTACCTGCGGTTCCAGGAGGAAATCCGAGGCTGGGACATCCATGATGCCCTCAGAGAATCTGATGACAATCATGGTGCTCAATCTACCGATATCGTTGGCGACATCAGCGTTGTTTTGGCGATCACGAAACTGACGAGGTTAGTGATTTACTTCACCAACAAGCATTTCAACATCGATGCACACACATAGGTAGATATCTGGGTCAGATGTCTAAGGGCCTCGGCCATCGCAGCATCAACTGTTTTGACAGTGTATGACATGTTGTCTGAAGTATAGGACTCGTGTCCACGTTGCTGAAGGTAACAGATGCGGGCAATAGGAGTATATGAGCAGGAGAAGTATCCTAACATCGACGTCCATGCATGTTAACTTATATCGGCGGCAGTGCGCGTCAGTCGCGCGAAGTTGATACGACATACCTTGGGAAGTCGGCTTGAGACTTTACTCAAGTGGTCTCAGATTGTCAAACTCCAGATAAGAGATACGAGAGTATTTCCCGAGGGTATTCAGGACGACGAAGACGTCGACGTATAGAGATAAGAAGCCGAAGGACCAAAGGCAAAGCTGGACGATGAGTCCAATGCAAGCTCCAGACCGGAGTGAGTCCAGGACACCCACACAAGAGGACTTGACCGGAATGTGGGTGTCGGCGGACTCGTGTTATGTACACTGGCTGCCGTCTAGATAAGCTGACAGTCTGGGCAGGTGTACTTTATCAGGAAAGATAACAAACAGAAAGCGAACACGTCGCTGAGGACGATGCAGGAACTGGGGATTTTAGATATGAGGAAGATATTCAAAACAGGAGGAAGAGGAAGGGGTGGTGAGGGCGAGGTGGGGAGGGAAGAGAGCAAGAGGGAGATGAAGAGAGAGAGAGAGAGAGAGAGAGACTAAGAGGAGGCAGAGAAAGAAAGAGGAGAAGAAGAGGGGAAGAGAAGGAAGTGAAAGAGGGAAGTTAGAGGAAAGGGAGAGGGGGAGATGGAGGGAAACAGGCTGGCTCTTGATATATGGAGGGAGTACGCGCACAGTGAATACTTCACAACCAGGGGAAGATTCCGGACTATTCACTGATACCTACAGCGGAGCTCTATGGACCCTCGCGGACCCTTTACAGCTGGACTTCTTGGGTATATCGGAGACTCTTCTGATCAGACTTGCCTTGTTCGAATATTGAGCCACACAACCTGATATTCCTCTATTCCAGCACGCCTTTCAGGTTCACATAGAAAATGTGAGCGCAGCTTTGAACCATATAGCTGGTAGATGAAGACAACTCGCATGAACAAGTGAAGGTGCTCCAACTTGAAGGGTATATTTCTCAGAGGAGAAAGGAAAGGAACCAGCCTGTGTTGCAGTATAACTGCCTTGGCAGGACAGGACATGCGTATTCGAAGCTGGAGACATGCTGAAAACGCACTCACCGGCATTGACATCAGTGTCCTACAGACAGCCGAGATCAAAGCTTCTCTCTACAGACATACTGAGCATCAAGGGCATCTTCCAATACCCACCATCATTTGCAAGCTGAGTAGCTGACCATGCAGTCCGTCTCAACGGGGACATTAGTAGCATGAGTTAAGGCTACAGATCGCAGCTAGGCACGGGTCTCTCTTTCCCAAAACAAAAATACAGAACGAACCACAGGTCCCTTTCTCAATTGAGCGCAGCTTAACTGACAGTATTTATCTCTCATACTACTAGGCATGGCAACATATCTCATATCTCAAATCTTACACGCGAGTCAAGAAGAAAGCGGAGGGAACGACCTCACGAAGCTAGCGGGAAAAAGAAAAGAGAACGACCGATTAGCCAAATACTCTCGGGGCGCAGAGAAGGAAGAGTTCCACATACTGAGCAGGGCATTCATACCCATCCGGGTTCTTGGTCAAGTACAGCTGGTGGTAGTCCTCCGCATCCCACCACTGGCCCGCGCCCACGATTGCGGTCGTGACCGGCTGCTTGTACCATTCCTGGGAGACCTTCTCCGTAACCTCACGAGCAATCTGATCCTGTTCCTCGCCATGCGTGAAGATCACGCTGCGGTACTGCGTGCCAATATCGCCGCCCTGACGGTTTAGAGTGGTGGGGTCGTGCATGCGGTAGAAGAATTCTAGAAGGGAGCGGTAGCTGACAATTGAGGGATCGAACGTCATCTGCAATGCCTCGGCGTCTGCAAAGTAACCACACGAGAAGTCAAAACGTCAGTTTCCGTGCGACTCAAATAGCCGCTCAGCTCGAGCAATCACTTACGACCAGTCTCCCCCGTGCACACAGCACGATAAGAAGGGTTCGCGCTGTGTCCACCGGAGTAGCCGACCTTGGCTTCCAAAACACCTTTTCCATTGCCGAAGTGCTTGCGGAAGAGGTGCTCCACACCCCAGAAACATCCGGCGGCTACCGTGGCGGTCTGCGTGTTGGTCGACATGTTGCACGAGGTGGACGGGGTGGTTAAGGCCAGGAAAGGTGAACTGGTCGAGAATTGACGGGCAATTCGAGAGAAAAAAGTCGAGCCAAAAGCGGGCGCCGCAAAGGCCATCAATAATTATGCGATTGCGCTTCTTGCTCCACCTGAGGTTTTGGTTTCCGTCGGAGAGGGGCACCTGACAAATCCCTTCTCCAGATCCGAGATCGATTTTCTTTTTTTTGGTCAATTAGCGAGATCAGGCAGGTAGTGAAGCGAATTGGAACACAGTTGCAGTGGAATAAGAGTTTGGGCTGTTTTAATTGTACAATGCAAAGTCCAGTATCTCTCTCTCTCACTTTGGGGTCTCGGGAACTCGCCCGCCATTGTGAATTTGTCATACTCCAATTCTGGTGGCGTCATTCCGCGCATGACATAAGATTGGTGGCCACATGGGTACCATTAAATCATCTCTCACCTGTCTATAATACGAGTTGTGCTCTCGATGAAGGTATTATTATCAGTGGTGGGCTGGATAGATGGCCTCCTGTAGACGCGCATTGGCCCCAAAAATTTGCAGCAAGCTGTTATTGTACATATCCCGAGCAATATGCCACTCCCGGGAAACGGGAAAAGAAAACAAAAGCATGTAGCCATCAACAATGAAGGAAGATGGCCGACGATGTCTGTCCAAGCCCTGGATGGGACTCAAGCCTCTTGAAGCTGAGAAGAAGTATAGTATAAGGTTTGTACCGAATCTCGGATTGCGCGGTCTTAATTTCAAGGATGGAAGAAAGCAAATGGTATCTATTCCCAAACACCGTACCAGCAACCCAAATCACCAATGCAATGACACCAAACAATTCCATATGCAATTCATCTACCTCATACCGAATCCATTGCTGGGGTAGAGACGTTCTGGAGGTCTCTCCAGGGAAGGGGCTGCCACCATGCTGAGCCTTATGGCATCACGACTGGAAAGGCTGATATCCCGCGGGCGAATGTCTCCACCCAATGTGCTACGGCGTTGTGTGTTCTTCATGATCGGGAGAGCACGAGGACTCAAGACACGAGGTTTGGTCTCCTCTTTCTCGCTCTTAACCATGCGTCGTGCCTGCGAAGCTGTGAACATGGTATTCTCCGTGGGAGAACTGCCGTAGGTTACAGCTGTTGGGCTTCGGCGACGGTGAACGCGGAGTGCGTTAGCCGAGGGTCCGATTCCGAACGAGCCTCCGGAGATGCGCCTCATTGCAGACGTTATCTTAATAGCGTCATCTTTGCTTGCCTTCCAGCTTGTTGCACTCTTAGTGTCTGATGCAGGGCTGCCGGAGTAGCTTCCACTCGGTGTGCGAACAGCAATTCTTGAGGGGCGCTCGACTGAACGGTTCAAAAAGCTGCTGTTCTCAATGTCCCGGAGGGGCGAGGCTTCGTTGTCGGACAGGGGAAGAGTGGACGTGGGAGGTGGTCCCATCGGCGAACTACTGGGCTTTTTCGACAGGAACCCAGTTTTGAAGCGGTTGCTGTTCTTCTGGATATTCAATGTCGGTTCTGGTACAGCTGAGATTGGGGACGAGGCGCTTGACGGACTGAAGTTGCGGGTGGGCACTGGAATTCCGCGCGGGATAGGAGATGCCCGAGGCAATGGGGGTTCGCCAGGGCTGGCTTCTGGTACTGGTGCTAAACCCGGCTTTTGAGGGGTCTTCTGGACTTCCGTCAGGGCACCATCTTCTTCGTCATCCCTCCACCGCACACTTCTTTTGATGATCGGCTTTGGCTGGGCTTTCTTGGGCGAAAAGCTGACGCTCTTCCTTCCCACGTTCAGCTTGCGGCGTCTAGGAGAACCTTTGGTAGGAGAAGGCGGTGCTGCTGGGGTCAAGACCACAGGTGTATATGAGAGTCGACCGATGGGCGGTGCAGCGGCTAAACTAACTCTCTTCTTTTGCTTGGGAGAGCTCATAGTTTTAATGGGACTGGCTAGTAAGAGAGACGGAACACTACCATCAGGCTTGACCAGGCTAGATGTCACACCAGAGCAGGAACCAAGCATTCTGGCAAGAATCTTTCTACCTGTCTCGACAGCCTCTTCTTCACTCATCTCCATGATATTCTCAATCCCAGAGATCGTTTCGAATTGAGCCTGAAGCAGCGTCTGCACGGCGGCTGCGTCCCCAGCTTTATCTTGTTCAGCAACCGCGGAGAGAGCCTCGCGCTCCGTATTTGCTCGCAATAATTCCGCTTCACGATGGATATTGTCGATGTCGCTGCTGTCATTGAAATTGAATTCTTGGAGCTGACGAACAGCATGCTCGACAGCACTAACCAAGCTGCGGTCCCACGTGGACTTCGCCAACCGTTGATGGTAGTGTTGCCTGCTACTCTCCAATTCGAGAAGGATTCCTTGTGCTGTTTTGCGAATGGCTCTGAGATTGAATAGTGGTTGTTCAGACTCGGAGGATGCACAAACGTGATCGAATGCGGCGATCCAAGATGAGAGTAGTCCGATCCGGCGGCTGATATGTCTCAATTTGATCATGTTGCTGGTCCTTTCCTGTCTTTCTGACAGTGAGTGTTCGTAAGCGCTGCGGATACGAGCAATTCCTTCTCGCATGACAGCGTCCTTCTTCTCGGTTTGCTTCCTGAATTTGGCGAACGCAACCTTTTCATAATTCTTTTGCTGGGCCTTCAGTTCATTAATCAACGCCATCTGTTCATCGATCTTCACCAGGAAGTCCTTGACGTGGCGGTTAACATTGAAAACATTTCGCGTAACTTTCGTTTGGATGTTCTTCGCTCTATTAGCATAGCGTAACGTATTCTGGGTCTCATCGAAATGTTGGCTTGATGGGCTAACGCAAACGATCATAACCGTCTTGCAATTGCCGCCCAGCGCGAATTTCAGAAGCCGGGTAAGTTTCGAGTTTCGATAAGGGATATGGTTTCGCTTCCGGGGATCGCAAAGCGCGTTGATGCAGCTTCCGAGGGCAAGAAGGGATTTGTTGATATTTGCACCTTCGAAGAGTCGTTCTCCTCTGTTCTTTGTAGCGCTGGCACGCTCGCTTCCTGCAAGATCAATGATGCTCAATGTGGCCATTGTATGGGGCTCGTTCACATCTGCATTCCGATCCTTTTGTGCAATATTGATCTGAAGGACCGCATGCGAGCGCGAAGAGGTAGCGTTGGCCTCCGTAGGCGACATGGTGCGGCATTCGTTGCCCCTCATGATCATATCCATCACTTGCTGGACATTTTGCGGATGATGGCTCGACAAGCCAGCCACCGAAACCGAATGGTTGGAATCCTCCCGAAGCATCAGACCTCCTTTACTACCTCCAGGCACCAGCAAATCACGAATTGTCTCGTTGTAGATTTCGAGATAGGAGAGCGAGATCTCGGTTGCTTTTTCGTCTGATCGTTCATCGATACGCTCAAAGAGCTCCTGCATCGTCATGAAGATGATTCCCGGTTGCTGGGCGGTTCCAGTAATTGTATGAGTCTTTCCACAGCCCGTGGCACCATAAGCGAACACAGTAGCATTGTACCCATCTAGTACGCTGTCGAGAAGGCCCCGCGTTGTCGATTCATATACCTCGCCTTGAGAGGCATTCTGGTCAAAAATTCGATCAAAAGCGAAGGTCTGGTCCTTGACGCGTTTTCCGTTTGGTACGACGCTTTTCGAGAACTTTTGGACAGGGTTGTCTTCCGGGGGATCGAAAACACTGATAGAAACAGAGATCAGTCAAGCCATGCACACTGGCCACGCATGCTGTGCTACTCACAGGCATCGATCGTCAATGACCTTGATGATAGATCGAAGACCCTTCTGGTTGAGTTTGGGTGTCGGCGCTGCCGCCAGTGACCCGTCACCAAGGAACAATGGGCCGTCTTCACATTTTGAGAGCTGTGCTGCTTCTCTAATTGTGAACGGCCTTACCCGGACCGCGACAGTGATGGAAGAAGCGTCGGCCATATTGTATTAGTGCAATCAACTATCACCGCAGAGGCGTCACGTCCCTCTAGGTAATTCAACGCGGAGGTCGGCTATCCAGGGGAGCGACGCCCTGTACCGTCAACAAGGCAGACGAAGAAAGAACAACGAAGAGATGGAAAAACTAGGTGCACAAAACGTGGAAGTGAGGAATGTTGATTGTGGACCTATTAATCAAAGACGGCCCCAGAAAGTCTCCCCTGTTGAGCAACGCTGGCACTAGTTCGACCTTCAGCCAATCTGTTGACATTGACGTGTTTTCCACCGCCTTGTTACTCCTAGCAACCGGGCGACGTGTAGATAAAGTAAGCTTGCCGTGCCCCTGCGGTGCTCTCACACCGCCTCACATATCCTAGCCGACTGCCATTGAAAGAGCACGTCCAGCTTGTGACTATCACCACGCACCTTTGATCCATCTTCTCCACCTTCAATGCAAACGGCTAGAGACGGGTATCTACATGATCAGTTGAGATTATTATGTCGGAGTCCTCGTCTACAGTTTACTATGGATCTGCGCTATAATCTGATAGCTGTTGCAGACCAAAACGAGGTCTCAAATCTTATAGGCCCATCAGCCAAAATGTAGGGGCCATCTGACGGGCGGGTATATAGTCCTAAGGCGGTAGGAAGTATTCGCCAATATGTGGAAAACTCCTCTACCAACATGGGTTGAAGTGACGCGTACTACAATCAGGTAATGTGGTAGAAAAGAAGCATGTGGTTATACACTAAGGATCTTATTAAAGTGATATTCACGGAAGCTTATTAAAGCCGCCTGCTATAGACCGATATGAGCCATGCGCCAGGGTAACTCAAGAGTGTAGATAGCTCATCGTATCGCGCTCTCACAGAGAGTAGATGCAAGCGAAAGTGTACACCTGTTGGCCAGATATTGCATAAGAGCTAATATCATGAGACTGTCGACATTTTATTCTGGTCATGGCTCACTTGTCCGGGTAGCAACCTCTGTCAACCTGTGTGGTATACTGGATCTCATTTGCGGCCAACAGACGGGCTTGATGTCATTCATTTCATTATTTTTGGTTTGAAGGTAGCACTCAGTTCTGGACGTCATCTTCTTCGTCTTCGAAGCTAGGGAGGACAACATCCCATCCTGGATCTTCCAGATCTAGCTCAGCCAACTTAGCCAACTCATCGTTCTTCTCAGAATCGTCGGTCGTAGGCATGCGGAACCTGAATGCGATGGATTGTCCATTCTTGATATCGGCGGCTAGTAAGGTGAGCGAACCAGCTGCCTTCTTCCCGGCTCCTCGTTTGGGCGCGTCGGTAACATCGAAGTCGGCGACGTCAACCTCAAGCTTCGTCCAGCCTTTTTCCAAGTCGTTCTTGTCTACCGGAACACCAAGCTCAATTTCAGAAGCGTCCACTGGAACGACATCCCCATTTATATCTCTCAGGCCCCGAGCTTGAAGGGCCCGAAGCAATGCATTTTTGGTTGCGGCGATCGTTTCGGATGCAGGAAGCATCAGAAGCACGGTCGTTCTGTGCTTTTTGAACAACAAAGTCCAGCTGAGAGGATCGGGCTGAGGCTGTAAGTAAATTGATCAGACTAGTTTGACATTTTTTTGTGATCAGCGCGAGGCGGTACCTACCATGGTGTTGGATTTAGTGCTTTTGAAGTTGATGGCTGAGCTTTGGCGGGACCGCGGAGCCTTTGGAGTTCGGAGCTCGGCGAGCCGCCAAAAGTCGAGTCCGGCACGTCCACCGCACGTCAAAACTCACGTTCAGAGAAAGTGAGACACTCTCACAGCCAATTGCACACCGAACCGACAGCATTTGCCAGGCCCTGTCTATCGTTGACTTGGTTCGCAATCAGTTTGAGTCCAACGGGTCACTCTCATCTACCATTCAGCATGGATGTCCAGCAACCATCAGACGCGCCCGAGTCCTTGTCCTACGCTACCATGAAGGAGGAGCTCCTTAGTGTTGATCCATATCAAAGACTAGGAGTAAGTGTTGGGAGGCGCATGATGGCTACAGGTGCTACTGCCTTTGGCGTAGGCTTGTGTCTCGGATTCTCCAAAGGCAACACCACGTCGGCCTATCGTTTCCGTGCGGAGAACGCTCATCGACAGCCTTTGACCTCAATGGCGTGGTGGCAATACCATAAGACTCGGAGATATGTTGCTACCGTCGCAGGCATGCGAGAGGGATTTAGAATGGGATCCAGGTTAGGCGGCAGTGCCATGGTCTTCACCGTCTTTGAGGATATCGTGGACAATGCCCGACACGGCCAACGGGATTTTCTGTCGACGGTTGTAGCAGGCTTGTCATTCTCCGGCATCTACAGCCTCTTAGGTCCGTTACTGAAGCTCCTCGGCGTTCTTGAGATTGCCAGCTAATCTATTCCTATCTTTCTAGCCCGTCATGATGTCTTCACTGCAGCCCGTACCGCCAAACTTGGTCTGAAATTAGGCCTGACATACGGACTGCTTCAAGACGGCCTTGCATACTTGAAGGGTAACCCGCCCGCCTATGTCAAATTTATCATGGGCAAACCTCAATCGAAGGCCGAGTGATGATACTGAAGATCACACAACCCTTTTTTCCGATATGAAAGCTCTACATCAGAGCCACAGGCCCAGACTCCTTGGATACATATTCAAACCTACTGCCTTGCCCAGCACAGCTTGGACATTTCCCACTCCGGTGGGTGCCACGGCGCGACCCTACGAATACAAATAATGAAGAAGCGGTGGATTGTCAAATCTCGGAGTATACATCCACGATTTGCTGCATCATGTCAGACTTCCAGGCTTCAGCCTACGGCACGGAGACAGAGTCTCCAGATAGTTATTTTCGACCACTCCTTACTATGCTTGGTGAAATTGAGCATTTGTCTGGAAACCAGCACCATTGAATCTCTTTTGGGTCTACTCTCCAGAAAGCGCACACTCTGCACGTCATTGTTGTTCATTGACGGAGCTGCCATTGATGACACAGTCTTCCTGTCTCTGGTATCGTGGCTTGCCATTGTTATATATTGACGAGGGCGAAGTGATCTCACACTTCGAGAGAGCGGGCGGCAAGCCCTTTAAGCATTGATACAGATAATAGCTGAAACTCAGTGCTAAATTCTCGGCTTCACTTGTCATATAGTTTTTATGTATCTTCATGACTCTGTTGGTCCATTGGTTATCTACGAGTGAAAGTGCCAATTCGTTCTGTGGAATTCACTCCCCCAGCTCTGTACTAGAAACCTGAACAGGCAGCTCGAAGTTATGGCACACTTGAGCCTTGCAAATTGATGTTGTTTTCCATCGCAGCAAGCAGGAAGAGCCAGTCCTCTGCGTACTATTTTCTAGGACTGTTGTCTGAATTAATGTGCATGCGGTATCATCTGACCCATTTAGTCGCGTCAGCAAGGAAGATCTTAGTTAACTGCTACAGTATGCTCCATTGCTGACACATGAGCATACACGGGTTTTGTGTGAACTGAATTCCAAGTGAGTCTGCATCAACGCTGGGTTGCATCAGAGCTTGAGTACCAGAAATTGCTCAGCCTGGGGTGGTGCATAATTTCCGCTGCAGGGGATAAGGTTGTCATGTGGCATATTAGTTCAGCAATGCAGGTGACTTGGCTACGAGAGGTACAGTGCGTGGGGATGGGCATTGGTGAATCGTAACAATCCAATGATCCAGCAACACAGCAACAAACAAACTACGCTCTGTGAACATTATGCAGCCTCTGGTAACTTTTTGAGTAAAACGCGCTCCGATGCTCACTGCTCATACTCATACACTGAATGGCATCAGGATGAGCTGCCTGCAAAAGCGGTCCCCAAGCCGTGACAAAAGCGGCAAACAAACAAGCCAAACAAGTGGTGTCGCTTCTACGGGTAAGAGGTCGTGCCCTGGTTGATCGCTACATGCAGGTGGCCGTTGATAATGAGACGACTTGAGATCTACTTGCAGCATAATGCATTGAAAAAATGGTCGGATGTATTCAACTGTAGGGGGAAATATAGGTACCAAATTGATAAGATACCAAAGATAGAGAAGAGGAGAGCAAAGAAGGGATGAGAGAAACAGGTAATGGTCTCCGCTTCATTCAATGGTTGCTGACCTGTAACCGACAACTAGGTATGATTTATTGATTGTGTTATGCTGCCGCCAGCAGCGGCAGTGGATAAGAAGAAGTCCCGATTGTTCCAGAAAGATAGGCCACATGTTTCACCACATGAGCACAACTCCGCACCTGCTTACTCTAGGCAAAATTGCTTGGAGTCGACAAGATGGTGGATGGCTTGCTTGAACATACTCCGTTGGGGGGAGGGAGGGGAGGGGATATTGGTTGGATAGGGGATTGTACCGACAGTGTGGAACCTTAAGTGGCGGAGAGAAACCTGAAAGAAAGAACAGAACGAAAGAGACCTAGAGTCCCAGACTCTCCGTCGGGTCCCAGACTCACTGACCATTTGCGGCGGCGGTGGAGCCTCAACCAAAGAATTTGACGTTGGTGATCCCCGCTTTCATGTTGCTGCTTGTTGGACTAGCCTCTCTAAGCTGCTGCTGCTGCTGCTGCTGCTGCTGCTGCTGCTCCTGCTGCTCTGTTGCTCTGCTGCAACTGCTACTGCTCTAGACTAACTGCAGTGTCTATTCTCCCTAGAGTCAGTCCTAGAATTTTAAGAGTCCTAGGCTTAACTAGTAGCTACTGTGGGAAGCTGTTGCTACTCTTGCTGCTCCTTCTGCTCCTTCTGCTCCGCCGACTCACAGCTTAAGTAGACTAAACTACTAAGACTACCTACTAATTATTATTATTCTTATTAACTAACCCAGCTTCTTCAACCACCCTTCCAACTCCCCTCTTCTCCCCTCTTCCGTCCCCTCCACTCCCCTCCATCCATCCATTATGCTCTGTAGTCCTTCTTCAGGACTACTTTCTACCACTTTAGCCCATCACTCCATTTTTGCTTCACTTCTGCAGACCTCCTCTCATTACAACCTGAATTAATTGTCGCTCTTCTTCCCACTGTCAACCCTGAACGGCTCGAAGCCGACTGTCCTGCCTGTCCCGAATCTTTTGTCCTCCTCCCCCGCACCGTGGTTCCCGAACGATGTCTCTCTGAAAAAAAAAAGCTCCCCCCGTGATTCCCTTTTTCGTCGACGTCATCGGTTCATTGATCGCTTTGGGGCCGAATTAAACTATATGCTCCCCCATCGAATCTTCTTTCTAAAACCCCTTTGTATCTTTCCCAAGCTTCCTGGAACCTCCCCCTCAACCGTTTCACAATGCGCCGCCATGGAAGGGCCAGCGGAGGTTCGACTAAAGCCGTCACTCCTATCTCCGAAACCGCATCCCTGCTACATTCGTTCGACTCGGTGATAAACCCCAATCGTCCTGTACGTCCGTCGCCGTTAACCTCGTCGAGCATCCGAGCTTTGCCGCTAGACCTCATCGACCGATTGCGCTCCTTTCCTCTCTTTCAATCCACCCCAGAATCATTCCTGATCGATGTCGGCCAGCATCTCCGCCCCCAGCTCCAGCAAGCCAATGACTACATCCTGACGGAAGGCGACGAAGCCAAGGCTATCTACTGGTTGGTCCGCGGTGCGGTCTCGGTGACTTCCCGCGATGGCGAGAGTGTGTATGCCGACCTCGAAGCAGGTGCATTCTTTGGTGAGATTGGCGTGTTGATGGATCGCCCACGGACCGCGACCATTGTCGCCCGCACCAGGTGCTTACTGGTCGTACTGACCAAGGAGGATTTCAGACAAATTCTCCCCCGCTTTCCTGATGTTGAGCGGGCCATCAGGGATGAAGCACAGGAGAGATTGATGATCTTGGAGAAAAAGAAGAAGGAAACATCCGTGCCAGTGGTCGAGCCCGGAAGTCCGGCCAGGAGAGGCTCGAAAAGAGTGAGAGATACGTTTTCTGGAGACCTCAGTCTCAGCGAGCAGGATGGCAGGTCATTGGCGTCCGTCAACAAGAAGCGGAAATCCCCCAGCCCTGGATTGGCTGACGGATCATCCAGTGCGCTGGCGAATGGACTGGTCAATGTCCGTCTTCTTCTCAAGGAACTACCGCTGTTTGCCGGCTTGCCGCCGGATATCCTTCACTTCCTGGGACTCAATGCGCAACCCCGATCCTACCCTCCTTTCACCGACATCATCAAACAGGATTCTCAGGGACGCGAGATATACTTCATTGTTCGCGGCGAAGTGGAGGTTCTATCGGAGAGGGCAGAAGCACAGCAAACGCAGTCCCTACCGAAGACTATCGAACACCCGGGCTTCGAGGTAAAAGCACGGCTGAAACAAGGCCAATATTTTGGAGAGGTCGTAAGCCTGTCGCTAGCACCTCGAAGAACCGCTACTGTGCGGTCTATTAGTGCGGTAGAATGTTTGATGATCAGCGGTGAGGTGTTGGCCGAGTTCTGGGAGAGGTGTCCCCAGAAGGTCCGTCAGCAAGTCGAGCAAACCGCTAAAGAGCGGCTCCAGTCAGCTTCTGATGGCGATGTTGTGATGTCAGATGATGCGGGCGCTGAGCCTTACGGCAATCAGATGGAGGTCGATGATAACTTCAAATTAAGGGCTTCTCGGAGGCAGTCTATGCCGCTTCTAACACTGACAGAGACAGAGTTGGATAGCACGCCAAGACCCAATGGTGTAGATGAGCAGGCTCTCTTACGCCCATCAGATCCAGACCCATTTCTTAACATCGGCTTGGATAAAGTTCGCCTTCGAAGTCGACGCGGGTCTGTTGCCCCGATGACCCCGGAGGAAGCCTCCGGAGAGCAACAGCGGCCATCAACTCCATCTTCTGAGCCACGGTCCACGAGTTCATCCTTTCTCACGTTACCTGGATCCTCTAGACTTTCCACGTCCCAGGACAGCACCCGTGTACCCCGCCAGGATAACCATGGTGTGCTTCCGGATAATATCCTCACAAAGATCTTCCGGCATATGGAGCTTCATGACCTTCTACGCCTCCGAGCTGTCTCGATGCACTGGTCTGAGCTCCTGAGCACATCCGCTGAACTGTTCCATAATCTCGACTTGAGTGTGTATAATCGGTGCATCACGGATGACGTCCTGGCGAAAATCATTTGCCCCTTTGTCGGCAGCAGACCTCGCTACGTCAACATTAGCAATTGCTTCCATATCACGGATGAGGGGTTCAGCAAGCTAGTTGCCGTATGTGGTTCCAACGTTACTGCCTGGAAGATGAAGAGTGTGTGGGACGTAACGGGATCGGCCATCCTTGACATGGCCAGTAAAGCAAAAGGCCTACAGGAGGTTGATCTTAGCAACTGTCGAAAGGTGGGCGACACACTATTGGCGCGGATTGTAGGCTGGGTTGTACCCGGTCAACATAAGCCCAGCGAGGAGCCTGCGAAGTCCGGAAAAGCATCCTTAAAACCCACCATGCAAACTGCAGCCGGGACTGTGTACGGCTGCCCCGATCTCAAGAAGTTGACCTTATCCTACTGCAAACATGTTACCGATCGCTCGATGCATCATATCGCGTCGCATGCTGCATCCAGAATCGAGGAAATGGACCTCACCCGCTGCACGA